CCCTGCTCTGGCAGGGGGGTTGGGCTGGGGGAGCTTTCCAGGTCCCTTCCAACCCCTGGGATTCTGTGATCCCACGATTCTGAGGGTCAGGGCTGGGCCATGCCCGGCGCGGAGATGAGCAGCCCGGGGCTGAGCAAACCCTGGCTCCCCAGCCTCCCCACTGCAGGGCCAGCCCAGCCGCCTGGGAAGGAACCACTGGCTAATTACAGCTCCTCATTACCTGGCAGCACATGAAGGAACCTGTCCCTGGCACCCGGTTTCCCGGGAGCTGCCACAGGGGTCCGGGGGGGCTGCACTTCCACCCAGCCCCACATCCAGACCCTCCCGCTGCCTGATGTGTCTCCCCAGACGGACTCACCTCTTCAGGAAGCACCTTCAGACCCTCCTGCCCGCTGAGATGTGCAGCAGGAGCATTTCCCTGCCGGGGTCACACGTGGAAATGGGGAGGGGGATCCCAAGGAACTCAAACCAGGCCGGTTTGGCACACGTGGGTGTGTGTTGTTCATGCTGCTGTGCTTGGAGTGGGGATTAATAGTTGCTGAATGGACAAGGACAGCTGCTGAATGGGGGAAGTGTTCTCTTCAGGCTGCCCATTGTGGGACAAAACCTGTTGGGATCCCCTGGGGAAAGGGTGAACTGCCCAGGGAAGCTGTGGCTGCCCCATCCCTGGCAGTGTTGAAGGGCAGGTTGGATGGGGCTTGGAGCAACCTGGGCTGGTGGGAGGTGTCCCTGTCCCATCTAGTTGGGACTAGATGGTCTTTTAAGGTCCCTTCCACCCCAAACCAGTCTGGGATTCTATGAATTTGGGCTTAGAAAGAAACCACTGGCTACACCACTGGCTGTTTGGAGCAAAACCCTCACCATCTAAAGCACTGAAGCTGTAACAAGAGCTGGGCCACTCAGCTCACAGTGACACATTGGGGCACCTCATGGCTGTACCTGGTGCCCCATGAGGTGTTCCCAGGGTGTCCGAGATGCCCACACAGCTCTGCCACACGTCACACAGTGATGTCTTCATCCTTGGTATCTTCAGCTGAGTAGCAGCTGGAGACATGGGAGGATTCTCAAAGCACCTCAAGTGCCTCTGCACGCTCACGTGTGGGCACTTGAATGAAGTCCCTTTTGTTACGCACACGATCTTTAATTGAGACACTAGAAGTGTGAGTGTGGAGCAGTGGGGTCACCACGAACCTGGGGTGGGTTTCCCCATCGTACCTGTGTGGCAGAAGGAAACCAGCTGCTGACATCCAGCTCTGCTGGGTGACAGGGGAGGCCCTGGGTGAACTGTGTCACAGCCCTTTGCATTTGGGGAAGAAACCTAGAAAACTGACCCCCCAGTTCCAAAGCCATGCCCAGCAGTGGGTGAACACCAGCATGTCCTGTCAGGAAACCACCTGGATTCATGTCACCTCATTGTAGATGTGTAAACTGAGGCTTGGATATTGTACCAGCCCTCACATCTTCATCTCTGAGCCATGAAGAGAGACAGAGGATTCCAGTTATTCCTGTTTCTGTCATTGATTATAAGGAGAATCAAATGCTCATCACCAATGTTTCAGTGACTGCATTCCGGTTTTTTTTCAGGACACCTCCTGAAGGCAAGATGTCATCCCCTGCTCTGCCCTCAGCAAACTCCTCACCTCCTCACAGAAAGCAATCACCTTTTTCAGGCTCTCTAACTCCACCCTGATCCTTTCCCATGTACTCCACCTGCCTCCTGAAGGGACTCATTCCATGTTTGTCCTGGGGACTGAGGGGAAGCTGCCAGGGTCATCCTGAGCCTTTTCTGACCATGGTGCAAAAATCACTGTCCTCCCTGACACCACAACTGTTCAAAGCTGCCAGAGCAGCTCTGCAAGACCCACCAGTTCTCCCAGCACTCTGGCTGCAGCCTGTCGAGCCCCATGGACTCCACAGGTGAGATCCAAGACAGCATATGAGTCCTCAGGGATTCCATGGCACGGCAGTGGGCACAGGTGCTGAGGTGGTTCCATGTCCTCAGTGTCCCCTATCCCAGTAACCTGACACTGACCAGGGGCTCATGGGCAAGACTCCTGGCCTGTGGGGCAGCAGGCATTGGGAGCTGAGCTGGAGCAGAGCCAGGGGTGGCACCCATGGGGTTGGTGAGGACCGGGGGGTGCACAGGGAGGCTTTTCAGCAACCAGTGCTGGAACCAGCTTGAGGTGCATCAGGGGAGAGGACGTGCAAATGTGCTCAACCACACGAGGATCTTCCAGTCCTTGTCTCCTGAGACATCAAGGTTCTAGAGAGCTGTCCCCTCCATCCTGACCTCCTGCTCTGCCTCCAGTTTACCCCAGGCTGGGATGGCCCAGGAGCTCTTCTCTGGAAACTGCCCTCAACCCTCTCAATTGCAGCCTGAAGAACAAGGAGGTCCTGGTGGCTCTCCAGAGGGCTGTCCAAAAATCAGGGCCCAAAGCACATGGTCCATATCTGATCTGGGGGGTCTTCCCCCACCTGTCCTTCAGCTGTTGCAAGGGAAGGCTTTTTTTGCTACAAGACAGGTGCAAAGAAATGTAACTCTTAACTAAACTTGTATTATATAGGTGAGGATCTCACTGCTCACTGGTATTTTTTTTAGCTAGTAAGGAAAAGGAAAGTTTAGCAGAAGATGCACTTTGGTGTGTCCATGGAGCTGGATTAGGGGAGAACTTTGTGGAGTAGGGATGATGGTTGGACTTGGTGATCCCAAAGGGCTTTTCCAACCTGAATAGTTCTATGATTCTGTGTGTGTGGAACGTGTGGGAACTCAGAGGACATTGAAGGGAACGACACCAAACAAACCCAGGGGAGTTTTGATTTCCCTGTCAGGATCATGCACCACCCACAGGAAGAGGGAAACACGACTCGGATCTGGGTGCCATCACTGAGGCCCCAGGAAGAGCCACCCTGTATTTGCAGAGCCTGGTTGGTCACTGGGGTCCAGCAACGCCGTGTCCTACAGCGGGTGGGTGTCCTCCTGCTCCCCACGTGCTGCCTCCTCCAGGGGGACAGGGCAGGGCAGTGGTGAGGAATCCTCCTGCTGCAACTGCACCGGGACGTGTTCCATGTCCTGGGTCACCTTTTTGTGGTGGGGTTGTGACAGTCAAACCCCTCCCTGTCTGAGGGACAGGCATCCATTCCCTCTCCCCAGGGAGGGTTCTCTCTTCCAAACTGCCCAGGGCCCCACAACCTGACCCACACCAGTCTTGGAGGCTCAGGACTGACCCACACCAGTCTTGGAGGCTCAGGACTGACCCACACCAGGTCTTTGAGGCTCAGGACTGACTCACACCAGTCTTGGAGGCTCAGGACTGAGCCTGGGGCCTCAGGCAGCCACCTGTGCCCCACAGCCTCGGGACACAGGGACCAGGGGTGGCTCTACAGCTGTGGGGGTGTCCAAGGGACTCTGGGGGTACCACCCTGTAGCCTGGGGGGGATCTCACTAGAGAGGGAGAGGTGTCAGGGCTTCTTTGGGGAGCCTAGGGGTGTGGAGGGAGGTGTGGGGGTGTCCTCAGATGTCCCAGTCCCCAGCTCCTCACAAGTGCTGGAGAAGCTGCTCAGCAGGATCTTGGGGCACCCTCACAGGTGGGGCAGGGGGTGTCGGGGACCCCAGGGACACGGGGCACCCCAGGATCACTCACCAGCAGGGTGCAGGGCTGGGTGCTGTCCTCGGGGCACAGGGGGTGCAGGTTGGGGCCCGGGGTCCCCTCGTGGTCTGCGGGGCCCTGGGGCTGGGCCAGGCTGAGGCGCAGCAGGTCGGTGCAGGCGAAGGTTCTCCTCAGGCTGCAGGGCAGGAGCACCCTGGGGAGCTGTGCAGGGTGGGCTGGCACAGCGTGGGGCAGAGACCCCCCCCAGGGACCCCATGGCCGTGGGGCAGCTACCCCGTGGGATGGGAAGGAACCACAGCCCCTGAGGACCCCCAACAGCCCCACCACCTCCTCATCCTCCTCCCCGACTCCACCTTCCCCGGTCACCCCCCAGGCACCCCTGGGATTCCCCAGTTCCCCCCTCCACAGCCTCCCAGTGATGACCCAGAGGCTCCCACAGCTGCCCCTCCCCAGTTGCCACCCCAGGCTGAGCTGCCTTTACCGGAGGAGGGTGATGGCTGCAGGCTGGGGGAGGCCCTGGGGGGCTGTGGGCTGAGCATGGCTCCCCAACGTCATGTTGCCCATGGCCTCCTCAATCTCCTTCTCCACAGCCTCCCTGATCTTCTCCACAGCCTCCCCAACCATCTTCTCCACGGCCTCCTCGGTCTCCTTCTCCTCAGTCTCCTTCTCCACAGCCTCCCCAACCATCTTCTCCATGGCCTCCCCAGTCTCCTGATTCACATTCTCCCCAGTCTCCTTCTTCACATTCTCCCCAACCTCCTTCACAGCCTCCCTCATCTCTTTCAGCTGCAGGAGGGTTTCTACCCCAGCATCAGCCATGGCCCTGCTGGTGTCAACCCCTGCCAGGGAGGCCCTGAGGGGTCTGGCTGTCCCCAGGGACAGAGGGGCTGTGACCCTGACCTCATAAACACTGGTCACACAGGATTCCATGAGGACTTCTGTTCCAGCCCCTCCCCTCGTGTACCTCAGGTGACCCTTTGGATTGCTGGTTCAACCCCTTCTGTCCCCAAGGCAGCCACCTTAGAACCCCAGAACACCTCGAGTTGGAGGGGATGCATGAAGATCAACAACTCCAACTCCCTGCTCATCAGGAGGTGCCCCAGGTCCGTGGGGCCAGTGAGGGCAGGAAGACTCCAACTCAGAAAGGGCTGAAGACAGATAAGGAAGAGCCAATGGGTAAAAAAGAAGTGATTTTTGGTGGCAGTGCCACTGCTGCCCCCTGCTCCTGGGGCAGAAACGGGCTGAGAGGTGTCAGCTTTATTTTCACTACAAGTGTCTGTCAGAGCTGGCTGGTGGGAAAGGGCTTCCTGGATGGGGAGAGGACAGAGCTGTGGGTAGGAGCTCACCAGGACACCCTTCCTTTCAGCAGACCCCCCACAATCCCCAGGGATCTGCAGGGCCTCTCCTCTCACCCCACACTGTCCTGCTGCCAGATGCTGTCAGGTCAGTGAGAAGTCTGGGAAGGGATCAGCAGGACTCAGCAAGAACACTCCCCAAAGGCAAAAGAAACTCCCCAAGGAGCAACAGTGGCAACAAACTGGACCAAGGAGAAGGAAAACAACAGCAAGGCTGAGGGGATGGAGAATAAAGCCTCTTTTATAGAAGAGAGAAAGCAGCTGCAGGGCTGGCCCTGTTGGCTGAAGGAGGAAATCAGCTTCTCACCATCAGTGGTGGGCACTGGGCTCTTCTTTCAGGGGTGGAATAATTTCTCCAGTCTCTAAAATTCTGTCCCCCTGATGGAATGAGAACAGGGTGAGCATCTCCTCCTCCCCCTGGCCCTCCCTTCACAGCCCTTCCCTGAACCTGGACCTGCCCCCACTTCCAGACAAAACCAATCTCACTGCAACTTCCCCACCACCACTCAGCTCAGCCCACATTTCACCAAGATGCTGAAATAACATCACAACCACATCACCCAAACTCTGCACTTGCTTTGCCCCTCCCTGCCCAGCTACAGAGCAGCAGCCAAACCTTTTGAGACAACTTTGTTTTAAAAATGCACATTTATAGCCCAGCACAACCACCTTCAACAGGGCAGAGTCTCCAAACCCAGGGCCTGTGGGCCACAAAGAGCTACACAATCATGGAATGGTTTGGGTTGGAAGGGACCTTCAAGATCATCTAGATCCAACCCCTGCATGGGCAGGGACACCTCCCACCAGCCCAGGCTGCTCCAAGCCCCATCCAACCTGCCCTTCAACACTGCCAGGGATGGGGCAGCCACAGCTTCCCTGGGCAACCTGGGCCAGGCTCTCACCACCCTCACACCAAAGAATCCCCTCCTCATGTCCAACCTCAATCTCCCTCTTCCAGTTTTCATCCATCCCCCTTGTCCTCTCCCTCCCTGCCCTTGTCCCAAGTCCCTCCCCAGCTTTCCTGGAGCCCCTTCAGGCACTGGAAGCTGCTCTAAGGTCTCCCTGGAGCCTTCTCTTCTCCAGGCTGAACACCCCAACTCTCCCAGCCTGGCTCCAGAGCAGAGCTGGTCCAGCCCTCCCATCACCTCCCTTGGACCCTTTACAGGAGATCCATGACCTTCCTGTGATCCCTCAGAGATAAACCCAGTTCCCAGCTGCTGTTTGCTGCACCTTCAGGCCCTGCCTTGGCCCACAGAGCTGATCTAACTCCAGTCACTAACGAGGCTGAACCAGAGCTTGACCTCTTTGATGTTGCTAAGTGGTTGGTGGGGATGGAGCTCTGCATTATTTTATTTTATACAACACACACTGAGGTGTCATGGGGGGGGAAAAAAAAAGGTGCAACTGGCAGAACTAGCAGAGCTAAATTGACATGAGAATGTTTGCCCAGCAACTTGCTGCACCAGGCAATGATTAAGGGCTCAGAACAGTCTGAAAACAGATAAAGACCAAAAAAATCTGAGGTGAGGGTGGCCTGAGTCCATCCCCCTGGGGACACCTGAGCATGGGGGACCTGCAGGGATGCCTGGGACCAACTGGTGTGGCCAAAAGTGACACACTTAAGAGCCAAACCCCTCCCAAATCACCACTCTTGGCTGAGAGGGGAGGCAGAACCACCAAGAGGCAGAACCACTCCTGGGTCATCCCATGGGCTCAGAGTGGTGCTCCCAGGGGCACTGAGCAGCCCCAGCCCTCCCAGAGGTGCACAGCAATTAACACTTGTGTCCAACCTGTGACTAGTGAGAGCAGGAGGGGCACACAGTGGGGCTGGCCCCTTTTGGGGGGAGCAAGAGGGGGAAGGCACGACTTCCAGCAGCACTACACATGGTGGGAGGTGTGTGATGGAAGCTGAAGTGCATGGGATGGACCCAGGGCTTCAGCTGCCCCTGAAACTGGGCACAAGCAGCAAACAGAACTAAACAGGACAGCTTCCCTGGGTGGTCTGTAGGCACTGCTCCAGGAGGGAACCTGCTCCAGGAGGGAACTTGCTCCAGGAGGAAACCTGCTCCAGCTGCTGCAGAAGATCCCACAAGGGATCCTGGGGTGCTGGGTGACAGCAGCCAAACATAAGCCCGTGTGCCCAGGTGGCCACCAGCATCCTGGCTTGTGTCAGCACTGGGGTGGCCAGCAGGAGCAGGGACTGTCCCCTTGTGCTGGGCACTGGGGAGGCTGCACCTCAAATCCTGGGGTCAGTTCTGGGCCCCTCAGGACAAGAAGGACATGGAGGGGCTGGAGCGTGTCCAGGGAAGGGCAAGGGAGCTGGGGAAGGGGCTGGAGCACAAGTGTGAGCAGGAGCAGCTGAGGGAGCTGGGGGTGTCCAGCCTGGAGACAAGGAGCTGAGGGGAGACCTGCTGGCTCTGCAGCTGCTGAGAGGAGGTTGGAGCCAGGGGGGTTGGGCTCTGCTCCCCAGGAACAAGGGATGGGACAAGAGGAACCGGCCTCAAGTTGTGCCAGGGGAGGTTTAGATTGGAAATTGGGAACAATTTCCTCACTGAAAGGCTTGTCAGGCCCTGGCCCAGGCTGCCCAGGGAGGGGGTTCAATCCCCATCCCTGGAGGGGCTCAATAGCTGTGGCACTTCATGCCCTGCTGGAGGCACAGGGGGGTTTCCCATGTTGATGGTTGGACTGGGTGATCTTAGGACAACTCTGTGACTGTGTCTTTGCTTCCACCCAGGTATTTGTACTGCACCCAGGTACCCAGGAGTTTGTCACCACAGAGGGAGAAACAGGGACTGTTGCTTCGAGGACAGGATGAAAATTGCTCCAGCCCCCTGGCTGTGCTGCTGCTGCCCACCCTGGCAGGCTCATTCCTCCAGGAATCCTCCCTGCACAAACCTGCACCTCTCCCTAAATTCCCCCCTTTTCTGCCTCTTTTGCCAAACTGGAAGATAAAATAAATGTGAATGGACTTACTGGGAACACCCGTGGGTTTGATGAGACAATCCCATGTGGGGTTTTCTGGAAGGGAGGAGGGAGAAGAGAGGGAAGGGGGAAAGAAAAAGAAGTGTTACCCAGATGAAGTCGAAAAGATTTCCCAAAGGGAAAAGGGCCCTTCTAAAAGCCCAGCTCTGCTGGGCACAGGGCTCCTTAGGCTGAGTTATTTCCACTAGTTAAAGAAACACCTGAGGCAAATTAAATCACACCCCCCAAGCAAGACTATAGACTAGGAAGGTCTGTCCCCAGAATTACCCTTCCAGAGACAGAACTGGGGAAGTGGAAGGTCTGTCCCCACAGCAGAGCAGTGGCCACTGCCCATCCCACCCCAGCAGGCTGGTCACCCCTAGGGCCACTGATCCCCCAGGACAGCAGGGATTCAGCCCCAGCTTTCCAGCTCACAGGAGGCAGCAAAGCTGGGCAGCACCACAAAATACCCAATCACAGGCACAGAAGTGCCTGCCAGCCGTGGAACCCAGGGAACTGAGCACAGGGAGACACTGAGACCTGCAGCAGGGGCTGAGGCAGCTCCTCCGTGGGACCCCGGGTCTGGGTGTGGGTTGGGGCAGGGAACTGCAGCAGGGAAATCCCTCTGGGGTCTGACCCCGACCCCCGCACCCCCCGGTTCCTGCACCCCCCC